GATGTAAGTGACAGGCGTGACAAAATCACTGTGATTTGTCACTGTGATTTTTTTGTAACTAGAACGATAGTCACGATGATAGAAATGTAACGCTTTTCCCCATGTCTGAAAAAGAACCATGTGTATTATTATATTTATGCAATTAACGTATTGTATATACTTGTCCAATCTGAAAGTATACGTACAGGAAGAGCGTGAGCAGCCCGATGAGCAGTATGGCGAGAAGGGCTTTTATGCAAGAGTCGTATTTGCGGTCGAAGGGTCTTCGTCGTCGCCCCGCACGGCACCAGTAGCAGCAGCACCAGAACAATCTGCACAACGCAAAATACATTAGACAATCCGTTCGTGAGTATCATCATCGTCCCTCTATCAGCCATTGCCAAGCTGAGTATAGCTTTCGAAACATTTCAAAGTAACAGTTGTCTTATTATTTGATTGATAACAAATAAGTAAGAAGTTATAAAAGTTTTAAAAGTGAAACAAAATGTATACAAAACAAAATAAACAAAATGTATATGTAATGATAGCTGTAAAGGTACTAACTGGGTGATAAATCTTTCATAGATTTCTCATAAATGGCGCTAAGACTAAAAAAATCGTTGAAAAACCCAATAACAAAGACACAACGCAAGCACATAGAAAAATTCGTGAGGTCCGCTGGTTCGTTCCGTGGCTTAGTTGGTATAGCGTCTGCCACGGTAAGCTAGACGACATCGGTTCGAATCCGGCCGGATCGAAGGATTTTTTTCTGAGTGTTCGATCTTTGTATTAATAATTATAACAAACTAATGGAGTAATTTCACAAAAAATAATTGAATATCAATTCAATAAAAAAATAAAATATAGTGAATAGCGACATCTCTCACCAGGACTGGTAGCTGTAAAGGTACAAACTGGGTGATAAATCTTTCATAGATTTCTTATAGATGGCGCTACGACTAAAAAATCGTTGAAAAACCAAATACAAAGACACGACGCAAGCACATAGAAAAATTCGTGAGGTCCGCTGGTTCGTTACACGTAATACAATTGCAATTAATAAATAGCATCACACATTAATATCATCAAACGTTTAGAGTAATTGCTCAACAAGTCGTCGTTCCACTAGTGTGTTCTTCACAATCCGTTTATACATTCAAAAATAAACTCAGAGAGCACATTTTAATACTGCAAAATAAGACAAGAAAAATTTTATTTGTACAAAGCACAGAGAAAGATAAAATACACGAAGACAGAGTGAACTATTTAAAAACGCTGTAGGCATATGGCAATTTAATTTTTTTATACTATTTATGTAATTTATTTTATGTTGTACTGAACTACTAATTCGCGCCCACATTTTCTTTTTTAATTTTATTTGTTATTTTATTTTTAAATCGGCCATTTCGAAAAGGGTCCACTGAAAACCAGTGCTGTGGCTCCGCTATTTTCTTTCTTCTTTCGTCGTACGTCTACGTATTTTACAAATGAAGATAAATTAATTGAAAGAACGTGTATTAATAGGTACAGGCGTTGCTTTGCGGAAATCCATGTTAATAAAAATTAAAGTTAATTAATTGGGAAGTCTGCTAACCTAGTGAAGGTTGAATCGTGCAAAATAGCTACGCTTATGTTTTTTTTCGCAATTTTTGCAAGAATAAATAATACTTCGGCCGAGTGTCGAACAATCCACAACTCCAGGGGTTATGCCTCGTAGAGAGGTGACACAAAGGTCGAGTATATTTTTGGTGGTGGTGTTTGTGAGTGTAGTTGCGCTTGTGTTATTTAATTTATTCGCAGGGAGGGTTTGAAAAGTAACTGCAAAACTAAAAAAATAAAATAAACAACACAAGCGTACCTACATTGGGTTCGCGGGATAGTGAAGTAATTTACGTCCATTAAAACGAGTTTGACATAAGCTATAGCTCAAGTTGATCTGCAAAATTTATACTCAGATTTTCTATTACAGACTAATACCACGAAGAATTACAGATTAATGTCACTTTATCAAAAAATATTTTTTACTATTTATTTACTACTACTAAATTTTTTAATATATTTGAAATTACATACATGTTTTTTAATTAATACCCGCAAAAGTATGGAAAGATACAATTTACCTCGATAACCCACTGCGTGAGTCACTGAAGGCGCTCTTTTAAGACAAGATTATTTTTCAATTTAAAGTTGCCTAGTAGAAATTGCTACATAGCAATACGGCGCCTATTGCATATTAACTTACAATTTTTTTAAAGTAAATTACTGTTTTGTGTTGTCTCTGTAATGTTGTGTGCAATAATGAATACTTCGTTCATTCGTTCAATTTCGTCAAGTAACCCCTCACTAAACGTCAGCAAAAATCGGGTTGACGCTTGTTATGCCTGTTAGTCAGAAAACCGTTAGTTATGCAATACGCAACGGGAAGTGAGCGTGCCTACAGCTCCGTATATCTGGAAAATAGAGATAGTACCGTAACCGGATAAAATCTGTAACAACCCTATACGTTAGCTGATCGGGGTCAAAATCGAACTAACGACGCTTCCTGTGCACGCACAGGTTATAGTGCCCTTCTCGTGTACCTTAAGGGTCGGTAGGGAGGGTCACTACAATGAAAACTGATATGATATTATATGGGGTTATTAGTAAGACAGAGGTGACAATATTATCTATGAAGTCCAGTTAAACATAATCGTACTATCGTTCCACAAAGCTTAATTTACATCCAGTCATCCGTGATGGAATAAAGCAATCTATTCCTTTTTTCGTAAGATGTGCAACCCAGAGCACATTGCGCCAACGTCACGCCCTAGTGTACTCTTTTTTTGTATGGTGTTCAAGCCGGTAAACTGCGTGGTTACTCCCGCTTATGGGCATTTAGAAGTTATTTGCAATGAAATGCGTTGTTGGCCGTGGGCAGTGCCGGTTTTACATTATGGTGCAGAGTGTGTGCGGCGTACACGGGCGCAGGGTCTTATGGTTGCAGTGCATTTGGCTGTTTGTTTTTGCGTAGGTATTTGATATATTTGGCAAACAATCGCCATATGTAGATAGCATGTATGACAAAGTATTTGCCAAAAGAGCCACATTGGCAAATACGCAAGTAAAGCTTTTTTTCATATAATGTCAAGTGACGAGTTGGCAGTACTTCCCTAAACGAACTCTATCACAAGAAGCTCTACTGCTTCTAAAACGTCCACACTTCATTATTTTAACTCATTATTTAGCTTCATGTGTAGACGGTCTTATTTGGCAGTGTCGTTTGTACGTCAAATATTTTTTCAAGTACATCAAACACTCAGTAGCGATTACAAGTAGCCACGTGAATAACCGCCATCAGCGGGCACCGAGCGCCGCTCGCGACGTAAACGAAGTAAACGACCTATTGCTTTCCAATATCATTTATAATTAATTGCACATTGGCACCGGAATTTCCGATCTCTGGGGAAAATATAAATATGTATTCCATTTTGATTGCATACCTGAAGGCGCCAGCATGTTAATTGTACCCGGGCGCTACGTGGGCTAAAGCCGTACTCGTGGGATATTGTGGGTGTTCACACGTACACGTTAGTTTGTTCGTAAATATAATCTAATCATATTCAGTTAATTTTAGGAAAATTAGAGAGCAAATAGAATTAGTTTTGTTAACACTACTAACGTGACGTTCACTAACGGGAATTTCCCGAATCGCGCTGTTAATATTTTCCTTGACTCATATAGGTACATAGCTCAAAGGGTTTAGTAGTTTTTGTACTCAATTTGAAGAAAAGAGCCAGTGAACATCAGTGGAAGATTTTTTAGGACCTAAGTGTCCAATGGAATTTCGCTGTTTCCGATTATTTCATCGTGTGCCCGCACTGGCTGTTCGCCATTATTATTTTCAAGAGAGTCACCACATTTAGAAAGAAGAACAATAATAAAAAACGACAAAACAAAAAATAAAATAACAAAATAAAACAACGAAGCATACATATACCACATTTTAAATAATCAACACAATTTGAATAAATGTCATATGTGCGACTGTAGCGTATGTAAAAGGATCCACTCGGCTAATGTCACGTCCGAGAAAAGGCTGTAACGCTGGTTTTCAGTGGACCCTAACACGAAATCGGCTTAAGCCGGTTAGAAAAATCTTTATATACATGAAATGACCACCGAACCACCAACGGGAAACGAACAACATTATTTTTCGCTCTTATTACAGATGTCATCACTTTACTGCCGCGGAACGGAATGGTAGCGTATTTTGTAACGAAATTGTACATAGCATAATGGACGTTATGTTAACTGTGTAACGTACAAACTAAATACGATGCGGTCGCTGCGAGAATTCTCTACACAATTGACATAAAGTTACAAAACAATACAATATACGAGTACCGACAATTTGTTTGTATAAGTACATAATGTTTGGGCAGACCATCGAGTACATACGATGGGTCAGACTAGAGATGGGTCATGGATAAATATTATTGGGATAAATACTCAGGATAAATATCCATTTTTACTCGATATTTATCCAAAAACGTAGATAAATATTTTTAATTCTGGTTTATTATTTATATTTAGTAAAACAAAGTTAATTTTTAAAACACTGGTGTAACTACACAATTATAAATTGTGTGTTTATAAAAAGTGTTTTAATTAATAATTTTTGTGTGTGAAATGTGAAAGAGAATCCTTAGGCTATTTCAAATCCAAACACGACTTTATTTAGCACGCAGTAGACCCCAAGACTATAAAGTTGGGTCGCACTTTATTAACGCAGGATAGGTCAGCTCAAAGGTCACAGTTAATTTGAAAACCTTCACTTCAATCGAATTTTTTATACCACTCGACTCGAAAAACGTAGGTAGAACAATATGGTTACATAAAAGTAAACATAAAAGGCAAAAAGAGGAATTATTGAATAAAAAATAAATTCTAATGAATTTTATTATAAAAAACACAAAAAAGATAATTATCCATGTTTTAGGATAAATACTCAGTAAAAATGGATATTTATCCTTTAACGGATATGTATCGGGTAAAAACCCATCTCTAGGCCAGACACAGTGAAACTGTACTTGTTTTGCTTCATGTCAGCTTCTATACAACCTGTCTTCACAAATTAATGAATTATGAATTACTAACCCGGCCAGAGGCAGTATGGCGGCAAGCAAAGCGGCGACCACGACGATGGCGACGGGGCCCGCATAGTGCGCCAGGAGTGTCCTCCAGTCGTCGCGCAACGATCCATTGAGCTCCACGAACCCGTCTGACACCACTATCAGACCTGCACACCACACAAAAATAAACGTTATACAATAATATACAAAGATCAAACTCATACTTATTATTTACATTTATGAATTCATTGATAAAACTTATTATTTTGATAAGAGCTCAAAATGTGAAGTGCGGGAGCGAAATTTTGATGAAATGAAGGAAAAATTTGCTTAACGACAACTACGACAATGAGTCAGAAAGTTTTTATTATATTACATATTTTTCTGTTATGTATGTGTGTCTGTAGATAAAAATATACGTTTTATCTATCTATCAGAAGGACGAAATAAAACCCACAATAGTAGACAAAAGGGCGACAATATTTTTAAATTATTTTTTAATAAGTAAATATAATTTGAAATGAAACGAACAGAGGGTCTACTCCCGTCCTCCTCACCTATATTTTTTTTAAACAAAACATTTTAATGGTAAAGTCATGACATGAGTCAGTCAATATATCTAATATTAACACAAATCCACCCTAAACGTTGGTCCAAAACGATGGTTTATGTAAAATTTGTCCAAAATTAAACTTTCATGATCGTAAAAACATCCACCTTCCCATTTTTGGCGACTATGGCCGTCTTCTGTTCTGTTTTAAAAGTTTTATACAACGAAATCCCGAAAGCGGTTGAATGACAAATGAGCATGTTTTGAATCCACGCCGTATAATCTACATAAATAAAAAACCAAGTTCTCCGATATGTGGGTATACAGTTCGAGACGCGAGGAGCGATCCATTTGATAAGCATGACGTCACCGCAACGCGCCGCGGCCGCGTCAACCGGTCCACAATTTTAGCGTAACACTCACCGGCTCGTTGGTCTAGGGGTATGATTTTCGCTTAGGGTGCGAGAGGTCCCGGGTTCAAATCCCGGACGAGCCCAATTCGTTTTTTGTTTTTTTTTTGTTTTTGTAAAATCTCGTATTGTATTTTTTGTTATTCACAATTGTTTTTACAATATAGTACAATGAAAATAGAGTTCACGGTTATAAAACTAACAACTTCCTATAAATGCACGATCGTGCGCAAGCGTGATTTGCCTAAAATTACAAGTTTATGTCATAACACAGGCTGTGGTGAGCATCGACCGTGAAGATGGCTCCTTTCCGTGGTTGAAGTGGTGCCTCAAGAGGAACAAGCAAGAGAACTTCGGCGACCCTTTTTTTACTTATATTTCATTTCCCTAAACGTACAGTGAATAAATAATTATAAATCCAAAAACTACAATTCTCATGTACAAATAAAATGTCCGAATTTATAATGCTCTACCAAAAGACATTCAAACGTTACCAAATGATTTGTTCAGAAACAGACTTAGTGAATGGCTTAGAGACAAAAATTATTACAAAGTGACTGATTTTTTAGATAAATGTTGACATTAAATTAGTGCTAAATGTATATACATGTACAATGTAATAATCATGTATAAATATTTTATAGTTTGACATAGAAGGTTATTATTTTGTTGTTTTTAATTAACTGATTATTCTTTGTTTCTTATTGGATGTCGACATGAAATTATAAGGTATATTTATGTTTAATGTAATCATGATGTATGATATTTAATAATTTGACATTGATAGTTTATTATTCTGTTGTTATTAATTAATTAATTGATTATTATTATTAATATTCCTTGTACACGTCCGATGACAATGCTATAATTAAACTAAATTTAAGCAACATTTTGCATGCCTAGTCAGGTAAAACATGTGTTCTGTAATAATTGTTCCATCTTTCACACCATGTTTTAAGCAAATAAAATTTCATTTCATTTCATTTCAATTATTCAACTTACAAGAACTGACGTCACAAAAACATACATTCCGTCGAAAAAGGAAATTATAACGCCTGAATTAAGGAATCAACTTAAAAATGACCAATGCCATCCTAGCGGTATAACCGGTATACGTAATGTCCAAAGGACATTCCATATTCACTCACAAAATGAGACGTTAAAATGTTAATTGGCGGATGATTATGCAATATGTATTAAGTTTGAAAGCAACAAAGGCAAATCGTAAACACGGAATTGCAAGCCCTACATTTTAAAATCAGATCAAGGTTGACTTTAGATCAGCAATAAATGTGGCATTGTAAAACGCAGATCAGCAGTTCGCACGGTACAATATTGTTCAAGTATTCACGCCAAATGCCATAATGCAAATACGGGAAGATTTACGCAACGTTCTCGTGTGCCAAAATAATCTTAAAACACCGCAAAATTGCGTTAAACAAAAGTGAGTATTACAGAAAGACATATAACAAACACAAAAATGTATTTCACGTAGGTTTCTAAATCGTGTATATTGATTATTTCCACTTATCGTCGTCTTAGGGTCGTGTTCCAGAACTCTACTCATTGCTCAAGTCATGACATGAGTATGATTTAAAGCACTAGAAATCATACTCAAGTCCTTGCCATTAGGGTCGTATTTCCAGTGCTTGAAATCATATTCAAGTCTGCTCAAATCCTGACTTGAGCATTGAGTAGAGTTCTAGAATACGACCCTTAGAGTAAATACCTCGCATGTGAATTCTATGTAATTTTTCAGGACGAAGATGAAAATGTGGTGTAAAATGTAGTAAACGCAATAATGTTTGTAGTTAGCATTTTAATTAGTTAAATTATGCCTCTTTCGTATACTATATTACTTTAATAATATATTTGAGCAGTCAAACATCAAAAACAGTAAAACAACGAGCAGTCAAATCAGTAAAAACTAACTATGTGAAAACGTGGAAAGGCATAGTTTCCCAAAGGGATCCCTGTCGCTCCCCAGTGCTAACGCATTTGAAAAAAGAACCTGAATTATCTATATAAACTACACTACATACATAAACTACACTACATATATCATACGGAAAAAAATTATACATATAATTCTTTTTTTTTTTTGTTAAGTTAATATAAAAAATACGGGTTTCATTAATTTTTTTGTGGTGGCGGGCGTTAAAATTTTTTTATCTTGCCTAAGTGTGTGGTGAGCCAAAAAGAAGTTTGGGAACCTATGCTCTAAGGCGACGTTATGTCCATAAGGACCTGTAAAGAGCCCGAAACTTTGGTTTGTTTGTAAAAAAAATATAAATATAAAATTTAGATCCGAAAAATTTTGCATATTCCGGAATATGTAAAAATGTTACATATTCCGACGTCTAGCATTCGCGCAAACCTAAGCACTAGATACGTAATAGCAATTTTTTATACAAAAATTTCATAGTAAACATTGATCAGCTACAGGAGTTCCTCAAGGTTGTATACTATGACTTAGCTTCATCTTTGTTTACGTAACATAAAAAATCTTCCACAAGGCATTGAATTCGAAGTCCAAATAAAATTCTGTTAAAGAAACCCTTTTGTGTATAATATTGTTGTTCTTTTGTACCCATCTCAAACACTTGCTTCACTTGTGACCGTGTTTCCGTTCTTTGTCGTGGTCTTCATTGTTGTAGGTCACGTACTTACGTGGATGCTTGCGGCCCTGTTTTAGCTACTGTACGTTCGTGTATGTGAAACAAGTTTTTTATGGATTGATTTCTGCTAATTACAAAACATATTTGCATGTAACGACATTCTCACCTTTTGGGTACGGATACAGAAACTCCAGAGTGCATAAAGTTTAATATTGTGTTTACGAAATGTTTAATATCGAAAATTGGCAGTTTATGTATATTTTGGTACGTGGAGTGCGTATGCCTTGTTGCGTTTCGTATCGGATGTTACGTACTTATCTCAGGCAGCAGACCGCGACGGCGCGTGCGCACACACGGCCAAGGCCCCATGCGATCGACCCGGCTGGCGGTGCCTTTGTTGCTTATGTGCTACCGAATGTATTCTCAACGGGATCACAGAAAAGGTCATAATATAATACATTCTATTACCTAGAAGTACGTAAATATAACGGCGGCATATTTCAACGCCAGTATTAACAGGATCAGTAAATTCTATAAAAAATATTTGGCTATCTAAGTCGGATGTCTCAGTTTGGCTCTGATTTCTGACGTAACAGGTTGTTTGTGATAAACTTAAAAGTGTTTTTGAGTGTTATTTATGATATTATTTATTTACCTTTACCACTTTATAAGTAATAATAATGTGTCAGATAACAATACAAATTAACTGGTCTCAAATTGTAGTTCACTGTACTACGAGTACCGGAGCAAGTGAATTCATTCCGGGACACTACCCAGAAATATAATTTTGATAAATTCTTTCCCTAAATTGGTACTACCCGGGAATCGAACCAGAGACCTCCTTTTCCTGCGCTCACAATGCAAACCAAGGGCCAACGATATAGTGTTTTATTCACATGAAAGTCATAAACTAATGTCGTTGTCGTCGAATCTAGAAACTTCTCTCTTGAAAAATTGTCATCTTACAGTTGTGGGCTTATTATACCAAGGTTGCGAGTTATATTCACAATTTGCTTTAGAATGTTGCGTTCCATCTCGTTTTATTATTGTCAAAAATGTTCACTACGTCATTAATGCCGTAAATAACAACATCTGCCCCACGGGTCCCTATTACTTTGCCAAATGGCATTAGCGTCGCTTAGGTTATAAACACAATACGAGGCAGACCCATTCTGCTGTGCAATTGATTTGTTACGTGAGGAGAAAACACAACAGTATTCAAATAAAGAAACAATCACTATTTAAGATCTTGTAAAACTGCCTTGCGCTTTATAAAGGAATGCACGTCCCACTGCTGGGCATGGATCTCCAAGGGTTTAAGCCATAGGTTCCCAAACTTTTAGGCTCACCGCCCACTTAGGCAAGATAAAAAAATTTAAACGCTTACCACCACAAAAAATAACGGAATACGGGTATTTTTTATACTAACTTAACACAAAATCATTACAACAAACTAATGGAGTAATTTCACAAAAAATAATTGAATATCAATTGAATAAAAATTTTAATACAGTGAATGTAAAGGTATCTATCTCACTGGGTGACGAAATACTTTCATAGATTTCTCATAGATGGCGCTACGGCTAAAA